TAAAGACCAAGTTTTATTCAGGTACAAGCTCTCCCTCCTCTGCGAGGACAGATCTGCACATCCCCCCCCCCAATAGCTAGCAATCCAAAACAGTCCAGTGGAGCCTGAGCGGTGGGTGCTGCCTTCTGACATATGCAAATGAGTTATGCTAATGAGCTCCTGCATCTCTTTTTCTACGAAATGACCCCGTGTATGATATTACATATTTTTCATTATAAGTAAGCAATTCTGGCAGAATATTTAATAAATATATTTCAGGCACCAACTCAAGCTTAACATTTACTACTTCCTCTATTATTTTTTGTATAGATTTCCAATATTTCTGAATTTTTATACAACGCCACCACATATGATAGAATGTTCCCACATTTGATTTACACTTCCAACAGATATTAGAACAGTTTGAATAACATTTTGCTATCCTTTCCGGTGGCCAATACCATCTATGAAAAAATTTGAAGACATTTTCCCTATAACTTGCTGCTCTCATATATTTTATAGATTTCCACATTTTTAACCAATCTTCCCATTTTCTAATTTTAAGATAATTTGTGTTAATGTGTATAGCCAACCTTTTACGAAACAGTCTGATATCAAAAATGCTCGGGAAGAGTTGGGAGGATATGTTTGTCACATACCAGGCATGTTTCCTTCGTCCGCCATAACTATTGCCGGTGATTTTAATGCAAGGTTAGGTCGTACTGATGAACAGCTGATTGATGAGAGTGGTACAGGTGGCTAGATCTCGATCATTCTTCCTAAAGGAGTCCCAGCGCCAAAGCAGACACAGGCATGACCCAATTAGCCATGTTCACTTGGCCAAAAGCAGCAAGGGTCAAGCCAGGTCTTCACTAGCACCTCCAGACTGATAAAGGTGAGGCATGCCAAGAGAATCTCAAAGGGCAGGGAGTTTCACAAACAAGGAACCACCACCAAGGGTCACTGTCAAAAGACTGAATCTCCCAAGGTAAGAGGAGGAGGAGGAAGTTCATCGTAGGCTGAACTGGGATTGGGAGAACTCTTGACGGTGGGGACAGCTGCTAAAGATAAAACCACAGCAGGGCTACTGGAAGAGGAAAGAAGGAAGTTTAGCTAACAAAGCCCGGGTGGCCCAACGTAGGCTGAAAAGACAAAGGAGGCGGTGGCAGAGAAAGCCACTTGGATCTCTTGGCAAGTGAGCAGCTCCGTTAGATCTGTCTTAGAGGTGCCCCCTGTAAGGATACGCAGCCCACAGCACCCAAAAGCAGGGCTACAAACTTCTGGAAAGCACTACCAAACAGCTGTTCTTAAAAGTGCAATTCCCGGAATCTTGGGTAACAGCAGCTCAAATGCTGCCGAGTGTCTCCCAGCCCGTGTTACTCCTCCTGACCTGGTTAGAGAACCCAGGTAAAAGAGACCCCTGCAACCTTTTGTCAAAGAGCCCACTCCCCTACATCCCTTCCCTCTAAGGACATGGGCGCGAGGGGAGCTGAGGGTTCAAAATGAAACCGCAGCACCCGTTTGGGATTACCTAGGCATTTTTAAAAATCATTTTATCCCATTTTTTAAATCTTTAAAAAAAATTAAGATTTGCCTGCAAATCATCTGTGGGTTCCCCCCAGATCTGTAGAAACAGCTCCCTTTCTGTACCTGGCCCCAACAAACAGGTTTTCTGATCCGCGGTCTGAAGCCAGGTTCAGAATTAGCCTGAAAACAACCTGTAAACTCATTTGAAAACCTCAAAGGTGAAGAGGCTGGAAAGAGATCTTCAAAAGAAGAAAAGCCTACCCCCAGATACCGCGACATTTAAGAGTGGGCGCAATCAGGAGTCTGCTTAGGTGGCGCTCGAAGTTCTAGAAATGTAAGAAACTGTAACTGAAAACACAACTCGAAAGTTACTTAAAAATACCTTCCCACGGGTTTCACTCTTTGAACCAGGGATTAAAAATGGCACAACGACTCAACTGCTTGTGAGCACCTGTGGGACGAAGCTTAGTCTCTCACGTATCATCAGCAGGATAAGACCAGGGCAAGCATGGAATATTAAAAACGTAATACAAACACCTGCCCCTCCCGCCCCACAAAATGCCTTTTTAAGAAGTAACCTCTTTAGACATAACCCCAAAGCAACAGCAAAGTAGTATTTTGTTAAGGCTAAAATAGAATGAAATAGTAAGACAGGCCTTGGGGAAGGCATGGGGAGGCATTTAAATGCCTCCCCAATCCTTCCAGGGGCCCCTGCTGGCCCACCCGCCTCGGAGTCGCCAGGGGGAGTTGCTCTCCAGGCCTTCCCTCTGTAGCCACGCATGAAGAGGTTTTGGCTGTAGTGGGCGTGGCCAACTCTGAAGCCAGCCGGAACTCCGTTACTGTGCGTCCCTGCCCAAAAATAGCCCTGCCTTGTGGCTAAGAGGCACTGATGGACCTCTGCTTCATATGTTTATCCAAGCCCCTCTTGAAGCTGTCTGTGCTTGGAGCTGCCACTACTTCCTGCAGCAGTGAATCCCACATGTTAATCAGTTTTTGGGTGAAAAAGTACTTCCTTTTATCTGTTCTAAGCCTACTGCTCATTCATTTCATGGAGTGCCCACGAGTTCTGGTATTGTGAGAAAGGGAGAAAAGTAGTTCTTTTTCTGCCTTCTCTATCCTATGCATAATTTTGTAAACCTCTAACATTTCACCTCTCAGTCATGGGCTGATTCTGCACCCACCTGTTTCCTTGCAGTTTTTCCACATCTCCCTCTACACTGCATGCTGCTTTCACTTTCTTTGTTCATCGGGTTTTAGGGTACCTTCTGCATAGATCTACACTGCATGCTGAAACACTTTCTTTGTTCATCGGGTTTTAGGGTACCTTCTGCATAGATTTAGGGCCTTGCAGCGGTGGCTTTGCAGTCACTACGGCCATTGTGGTTTTGAGCAACACCTTTTCCTTCCACCGATTCAAAGGGAACCATAAGCAGTCAACTTGACAGGGCTTCATTGATCTCTGTAAGTGCCCCTGCCCCTATTTCCCCCTCTGTATTTATCAGCTGACCATGGCTAATGACCCCTAAGGCAAGTACTGACACAGGAAAATCTGCATACCAATGCAGGAGCTAGTGTGGAAAACAAAATAGATGGCAAGCTGATACTAGCCAATGCAGAAACTAAGATCCAAGGCAATGCAGTGAAAACAGATATTCCGAGGCGAGGGGGAACCAGATTGAGTGCTGAAAAATGTGGAGTGAATGCCAGATGCAGAATGGACCATTGTTTCTCCAAGCTAAAAAGCCCTAACCTATTTAACCCATCTCCTTAATCCATGGGTGTCAAACATGCGGCCCAGGGGGCGGATCAGGCTGCTGGAGGGTTTCCATCAGGCCCGCAGTGGAACTGGCCATCTCCTGCTTGCAGTTCTGCCGCTGCTGCATCATAGCTTGCTTCGCCAGACTCTCTTAATCACTCAGCCATTTCATGTTTTAACCTGGGTCCTAGACTCAGAACTCTGAGCATGAGACTTCTACGGTGAATGTCAATAAATCAAAAGTAGGTTTGCAGCTTACAGAGCTAATGTTTTAAGCATGTTTTTATTTTAAATAAAATATATATATATCTTTGTGTTTGTGTCCTTTATAAGGTTTATATCTCC